TTTGTTCCACCTCCTTTAATGAGAGTCTTTCTGAAGTGCTCTTTCTTGTCATTATTTCTATACTGCATAAAATATGAAGCAAACATAGACTAGCAGCATGTCTTAATCGTGGTCACTGATAGATGTTGCATTTTACTGCAAAAAAAAAAAAAGTGAATTTCAAACTTTAAAAACGTCCAATGCTTGTATGTTTAGAAAGCAAATAAATATAAAACCTAAAGTGAGAATCTTTCCTCTGCTGACAGTACAGCTTTGCAAGAACATTACAGAGAGAAAAAGTAAACATACAGTTACATTAGCATTGGTCATGCATCAGCATCATATATGTAACCCCTGCTTTCCTGGTGTGGCTCGTTGTCTGCCTCACAAGGAATCTATTATGCATCCGAAGAAGTGGGCTGTAGTCCACGAAAGCTTATGCTCTAATAAATTTGTTAGTCTCTAAGGTGCCACAAGTACTCCTGTTCTTCTTTTTGCGGATACAGACTAACACGGCTGCTACTCTGAAACAAGGAATCTAGTTATCTAGAGCTGGGTCTATGAGCTCACGCAATGGTGCTGTGCCTTTTGATGTAGAGATACATGGTTCAACCCACACAGCAGCATCACATTACACACGGGACGTACTCTGCCTCTTCCACTGTGCAGATAGAAAGGTACTAAAGTCTCATTAAATATTCTGCCTGGTGATCAGAATCATATGGGGTGACAGAATATTATAAGCCTTTCTACACTAAAAACACCTTATAAAACAAAGCTTTTTACCAATCCCTGAAAGCAATGGTTTTAGGAGAAAAACACAATGTACAGTCACAATTTCACATTTTCACTACTCGGTGTTATTAATGGGTGTCATACAGCATCAGAGGAGTACTGTCCATATTAACACCCATGAAAACAAATTGCCAGATAATAGAAATCAATCCATTGACTTAATAGAGCTCTAGTGAATTACATCAGAATCTGGCCCTAGATTTTTTCTGAGGGGGCTTGGTTCTCTTTTCTTTGTAGCTATTGCAGCCACTTATTTCCCGTCTCCCACCCACCGGCTTGAAATCTTCCACACTCTGCTTGCGGGCTGCATAAGCAGGGTTCTTCACTCTGCTCTTCCTCCTCACTTCATCATAATGACACAGGAAAGGCAAGAGGTGAAAAGCTGAAACAGTTTTCTTCGTCAGCAGGAAGCTCTGTTAAAGCAGCATGAAGCAGATCTGGTGAAGTGTCTGTCTTAGAGTCTGCACTTCAATGAAATACCATTGATGCTCAGAAAAATATGGAAGAAATAGGCAGACAAATTAGTGATCATAATTTAAGGTTTTATTATTTGAATTGCTGTCATGCCTACAAGCCCCAGCCAAGACAAATAAAAATATTTCTGATCCCAGCTCTCAGGAAAGCTAATGAAAACAACACACAACACTCCAAGCTCCCTCTAAGCTGCGTAGCCGTGCAGCAGGCTATCAAGGGCCACGCAGCACGGAAGAGGCACCTCTCCCCCAGTTCCAGCCTCAGAGCTGCTGCGGCCAGGGAGAGGTGCCTCTGCCCCAGCCCTGGGCTGCTGCAGGGAGAGAGGGCTGGGAGGAAGTCCTCTCTCCCTGCTGCAGCCCCAGGGCAGCCTATACCTCAAACCCCTCATCCCCAGCCCCACCCTAGAGCCTACAACTCCAGCCAGAGCCCTCTCCCCCCCCACACCCCAACCCTCTGCCCCTGCCTTGAGCCCCCTCCCGCACTCCAATCCTCTCATCCGTGGCCCCACCCCAGAGCCTGCATCCCCAACCAGAGCCCACCCCCTCACCCTCTGCACCCCAATCCTCTGCCCCAGCCCTGAGCCCCTTCCCACATGCTGAACCCCTCGGCCCCATCCCCACCACACAACTCCTCCATATTGGTCCACATAACAAAATTCATTCTGCACCTGGATGTAAAAACTTAGAGAG